TTAAAAAGCTTAAAAATTGATTTTACATTTACTGGATTAGAGCAGGATTTGTTAATTGCCATACTTCAGACAATATCTCTTTTCTAACATTGCATAAAATGTCACAAGGTTAAATGAGGTTTACTCCTTATTTTAAAATTGGCCTGTGCTTTGCTTTCAGGAAGAGATTTTTATAACATGATTATTATCATTGTTATATTCAGTTTTTTCTCTAATGTTTGATGACAAGATGTCCTGTTTGTAGACGTTTTTGCAAGAGTTTGATCAAAAACATTGTAGAACCCATGTAGACAGCAATCAAAACTGTTCTCAAAGACAAATGAACATGACTTGAAATCTTAGCATTATCTTTCATTCCACTTTCTCCTTCCTCACCTCTGATTATTCATCAAACATAAAAGTTCTCCTTTTGACCTCAACGGCTTCATATTTGTGTGCACATTGGAACCTTGTCAGTTCCCCCCAAAACCCACCCTGTTCCCCACTGCTGTGCCTGGACTTCCACTGCATCCTCTGGGATGGATGTGTCCCCTGTGCCTGGGGGACACCAACTCACAATTCAAAGCTTCATTCAAGCCTTATGTCTTTTATGGAAGTTTCCTGAATTACCACCTTCACTGCCAGATAAAATTAATCCCTCCTTCATCTATGCTTCTCTGTAACTGCCTGATCAGCCTTCTTCCCATATGAGAAAAACCACATGAGTCCTGTGACTGTCCTTGCAACCAGTCTGCAATGTGTCCATCAACCAATAATTTGATATTTCTTCAAACTAACAACATTAAAAACATTTTTTTAAAGAACAGGAAAAAACTAACTTTCCACTAATAAAAATCAAATATATCTTTCTGTATGTACAAAATAGGGATTTATGTCATATGCAAATATAACGTTAACTCAGGTGGAATTTTTTATTTAGCTTTCACATCACTTACAACTGAATAGCATTAGGAATCATGCTCACTAAAGATAGAGGTTACATATAAATATCATAAAAAGCCTTCTCTAAAATATCTTTCTGAAGTTCTTTGTTCTGGCTTTCATTCTGTTTCATCAACATACTTTCATACCATGTTTTTAATAGCTTTGTGTCCAATAAATAATACCAGAGAATTATTGGTAAATAATTAATTGATTTTCAATAAGATAAATAGATGGTCTTAATTTTAAATACTAAAAAACTATATATACCATTATTTTCAAGATTACTGATGACCAAACATGTAATTATTCACAATAAGACATAATTCATACTTTATATATTGTTAATTATTTAGGCTTGTATTAAAGAAGTTTTCAGTATGAATTAATTCAAATGGTATAAACATGTAAATTAACAAGTTATTCTAAGATAAACATTGCCTTTGAGAAATTCATTTTTCTAATTGAATTTAAACTGAGATATTGATAATCAGCCTAATAAAAATCTAACTGTAAGACGAAAACTCCTATTTTGATAGGTTTCCCCGTACACCCCCCCTTGATGACTCCACCCATTCTAGTTCCAGCACAAATCTTGAAGTTAAACGACCTTGTGGCAAGGTGATTAAGCCCTAACGGCACGCTGGGACAGAGGACAGGGACACAGCAAATTTTGTATATTTGTTGTTCTTGCCTTTTAGTCTTCAGTCACTTAATAATCAGGTGGTTAACCAGGCAGTGTATTTCGTCAACTGGCACTTTTCATACTTGCTACTACTGCTTTATTGTTCCCAATTTAAACAAAAATTAATGTAATGTTTATTAATATTTTATATATATGTATATACTTGTGTACTTGTGTGTGTGTGTGTGTGTGTGTGTGTGTGTGTGTGTGTGTAGTATCCAGAGTCCTTGAAAATAGAGTATCTTGCTCCATGCATTGATAAGCACATCATTTTGATAGCTACCCTGTTAGAAGTCCTTAGTGACAAGACCAGCTGCACATTTGGCACAGATCCTGCAAATGCCAGATATGATGCGATGATGAAAAACTACCTAAAGTTAAAAAGCACAAGTCATAGAATCCTCAAATGTGTCTTAAAGCCCATCTACTTCAATTTTACAGGGTATTTTGAGGGTATGTGAAGGACATATCTCTCAGAAAAAAGAAGGGACTGGTTGGAACATACAGCTTTGAACAAGGAGATTCAAAAATTACAAAGTACTTTGTTTTCTGTCACATAGCATTTTTTAAAATATCAAAATAGCACTGGAATAGAACATAAAATGTCTATGTTTATCAATAGAGTATTTTTTAATTGGCAGTTTATAGTACAATGATATCAGTGACCTGGTTTAGCCTCAATCGTTTTTATAGATCAGGAGACTGAGGCTGTTCTCCAGGCCTGTTCCTCCTGAAAATAAAAGCAGCTACATCCAGAACTAACAGCTGAGCACCTCGGCACCAAGAATGATTGAGAGATTTCTGAGGAATGAATCTGTCTCTTTTGCCTCTCAAAAATCCTGTTGAGTAGTTAAAACAGATACGATTTTAAAACAGATATGTGTCCCCAGAAGGCACAGATTGATGGAGTAGTCAGAAAATTGGTATCAGAGCCAAGACTAGAACCCAGGTGTAATGAATCTTTGACCAATACTTTCTGCTGTAACATAATTTTCCAAATTAAGAGTAAACAAACATGTACTGCTTCAGAGTTTACACTGGAAGATGACAACTAACTTCTAGTTAAAAATGATTTCTTATTTCCCATTTCGCAATGGAAGTCTGGATAAATAGAATGTAGTAGGTACATACAACAGAATGTCATTCAGTCTTAAAAAGGGAGGAAATCCTGCCACATGCTACAACATGGATAAACCTTGAGGACATTATGCTAAGTAAAATAAGCCAGTCAAAAAAAAAGCCAAACACTGTATGAGTCCACTGATATGAGGTATCTAAAATAGTAAAATTTATAGAAACAAGAAGTAGAATGGTGTTTACCAGGAGAAAGAAATGGGGAGCTGTTGTTTAATGGGTACAGAGTTTCAGATTTGTAAGATTTTCATCTTACAAATTACAGGTTCTGGAGATCTGTTTCACAACAATATGAATGTACTTAACACCACTGACCTGTACACTTAAAAATGGGTGCGGTAGTAAATTTTGTATTATGTGATTTTACCACAATAAAAATAAATGTAATCTCAATGATATATAAAACTGGTTAGTAACTGGCAGAGTCAAGACTTAGGGTGGGATTCAAATCCTCGTTCTCGTATCCTGGCTGCCCCTGCACCGGCTGTTTCCCCACTAATCTCTGTGTGGCTGACTGCCACCTGCGTGACTGCAAGCCGGTTGCAATCACGTGTCAGCATTCCTGTGTGGGACAATCAAGAGTGAGCAAAGACCCCGTAGGACAAAGCCTGAGGAAGCAGAAGCCCCTCTTTGCCATACTTGGAGTCCAATATCCCAAAGGAAAACATTGAACTACCTTTCTTTACCACTGAAAACAAGTGACCAGTATAGGCCATTGGTCCACTGACTTGGCCATTTTATTCCCTTTTTTAATGGTTACTTATTGTCCAGGAGATACGGCCATTGAAAGACAATGCTCATGCTCGGTAGTTACACAGTCATCTCCAAGAATTGAGGCCTGAGGATGCTTCACGCAGGTGGTGGGAAAACAGTTAATTCTAACAGCCCTACACTCAAACCAACAGTTTCTCAGTTGGCATGTTTACAAGGAAAGTTGGAAACCAAATGAAGGATAATTGCCCATTCTCAACAGGATGTGGCAGTTTTCATCTGTTTTTTATTTTTAAGCATCAGCAAAGCTTCCCAATAAGCTAAATGTGGAATGATTCTGAGAGGAATGATGTTAAAGCCTAAGTCTGTGTTATTCCCAAATACTGGATTAATTCTTAAAATACAAACCACAGCGCC